ATGAACCTCTTCTACATTATTCAACATATTGTTGCTGGGAAACAAGGTTGGTCAGCAGGGGTGGGCTGGTGTGGAGTTGGGGGCATTGTTAGGGTACCTTTTCTCTCCCTTTCCTAGCAGAAATTCAACATTTCTGTCCTGAAAGCAGAAATTGCCAAAATCACATGCCCACTCAAATTCAAAGTACCACCTGAGTGAGGGAAATGTGATTGTAGGCAGTATTAGGCAAGATTCTTAAAAATATTTAAAATCTGAGGAGTATTAATGATATTCCTCTTATTAAACTGATTTCATAGACCTCATCATTAGAGAAAACCATAATCACTAACCTTCTGATTCATTCCAGTTGGGACAGTGTGGCATTGGTGACTAGTCTGTCCCACACAGCACTAACCAATGCAGAAAACAAAATTACACAGGTATAACTCATAGGTTAAAGGAACCTTTGCTGTGTGTCCTGGCAAGAGTGTGCCAGTTTTGGGAAACAGGACCACAAAGTTTGCAGAGCACAAGGTCACACAATGGGTCATTGGGAGTGATGATATTTAAGCCACTCCAGCTTCTAAACCTTGGTTCCTGGACTCATGTAATCTTCTTATTGGTGACATAGCCTTACAAAGTATTGCCTCTAACTTTCCATGTTAATTTCACCTCCAAAAGACCACCCCAAAGCTTTATCAGGTCAGAAGTTTCTATGCTGTGTAATGTGTATAATCCAACCAGTGGATTTCAGAGTCAGGCTTCCCTTCTGAAAATCCCTCATTGTGAAGTGAGACTTCTAATGGAATGCTAGCTTGTGTGGTAATTTATTCTTGTGCATCAGGCACTCAGGAAACCCACACATGGTGGTTTCAGCTAAGATTTTGAGGGCAGAAAAAGTCAAATCCATACCCAGAAAAGATGTTAGAATAGGTGTCTATTCCAAAGAAAACAAACCACTGGCTTTTCCAGGATGGAAGGAGCCCAGTGTGTCAATTTGCCATCAACTGCCAGTTTGCCTCTGCAAACAATAGTGCCGTCAGGGATTCGGCATTCATCTCCATTGTTGGTAGATTGTACATACAGAGGTACCTAGATCAGCACTGATAAGTGAAAGTCCTTGAAAATAGACCTATGTGTGGCATTCATGAATTCCACTTACCGTCATGCTAATTCCAGGTGGACAAAGGACAAAAGCCGGTTAATGTCAACTGATAAGTCATTTTGTCCACTTGATTTTTCAATGGCTCTGGTGCACATTAACCTGTGAAAATTCTCCATACACCATTCACATATCTCTATTCACCTACCTCTGCCCCAGACCCTCGTTTTTTCTAGCCTTTCAGTCTTTTCTTTCTAACCTCTTAACCTTTGGCAAGGCATTTGTTACTGTCCATGTGTCCATATTTATTCTCATCTCAGGCAACTTAGGCTTCCATACAAAGTAGATGATCATGTGTACCCCTCAAAGCTTCACCTTGAAGATTTTCACTCACTCTTATCTTTCAAGGCCACTTCTGAGTACATCTATAACACAGCCATTGTCCATTTTCAGCTTGTACTCACATGTCAAGGCAACCAATTTATAAACCATGATTTGGCTTTTTTCCATTACCTTTACATACAGTACAGGACCCCTCTCAATACAGTCATAGGTGTGAACTGAAGAGAGAGGCTTGTATAACTGTGGTAGAGGAAATGCAGGCCTAGGTTGTCTACTCATGTAGCTCACTCATGTCCTCTGGTCCTGCTTGGATTTGGTCCCATGATGATGTCAACTCAGATCCTTTGTCCAACAGTTCCCCAATTGTATGGATAGTCTTATTTTCAAGTACATATTTACTCAAGTAAGTGTCCATGGGTCCCATTTGCAAAGTACTAGGGAAATCTTTAAAGTGCATACTAGTGGCTTTCTCCTGGGAACTCAGCCACCTCTTTAGTCAATGCTTTCCAGGTGTGACAACTAGCTCAGCTCTAGTAACTAAGCTAAGTATCATGGTTTCTTACTGGTTGGCAGTTGCTTTCCTGGACATCTACTAAAATCAACTGTGCCAGTTCAGAACCTCCTGGTGGCAATGGCAAGACAGAATGAGAAGTACAAGAGATTTATTAGTTAATGCCTGTAAAAAAAAATAGAGGTATCCAAGGATACAGTATGGGGAGAGAATAAAGAGTAGCTTTACAGTGGAAAAACCTGACCAAGAGTGCTCACTTGGTACCTGTGAGTCGCAGCGTGGCCGCCCACCGCTCTGGTCCGCTCAAGCAACAGAATAAACCTCATAAAGGAGGGGGGCACTGGGGTTGGGGTCAGGGACCCGCGCGGTGGGACGGAAAAGGCCCTCTAGCAATGAAAAGCCTGAGCAAGAAGGTGAGAAAGGAGCTCAGCAGAGCAGGCCAGAGGCATCGCGCTGGCCAGCTCCAGAAGCAAAAGGAGTGTGGTTCGGGCAGAGAAGAGACAGCTGGGCAGTGAAGATGGCCCTCCTCATCAGGTACTGTGGTGCCACTGCACAACAGGATTTCCCTGCCAGAGGCCTGTCGGCTGCTCCAGGATAGGGACACTGGAACAGTACACTTGAATGAATGGGGAAGCACCCACAGCTTTATGCTGTTATGCCCCCCGCTTGAAACATCGATGGTGTTTCACATCTGCAAGGCCAGAGGATTCGCACACTGTCTCAGACTTGGCTAAAGTGGCTGATAGCCCCCCTTTCCTCCTTGACCCACTGGAAGGCTGGGACAGCATTGAGGATTACTGCCTTTCCTGCCTCTTTGCTCAGGGCCTTCCCACCCATACACTAGCTATACAGGGGATTTCTGGCCTCCCACCAAAGAAACAAATAGATGTCAGAAAGAAGCTAAGTAAAGTTGTGGAGAAGCGCTTTCCTGATGACAAGCTCCTTCTGTGAGACACGCAACAGGGGGCAGGGATGCTGCTCAGGCAGCTGGCTAAGCAGAAACAATGGCACCTTGCCTTTCGAGATTGGGGGGCCTGCCTCTCTGCTCAGGATGCTGACTCTGAGCCTAATGAAGAGAATAACTTGGTGGGGACCTTGGAAATTTCAGGTTATGTTCGTGGACAGACTGTGAGTGTCAATAGCTTGCTGCATATCATTGGACATGGTGACTTTCAGATGAAACAGATAGATGCCCCTAAGGACCCTTTCCCTTTAAACCTCAGAGTGATCAAATCCCAGAAGGACCCAGGCATGGCAATGGAGGTTTGTGCTACGGATGCTGTAGCTGATTCGGAGGAAGAGCTTAAGGTCCTAATGAAGGCAAACCCTGATAGACAAGATTCTTTGCAAACAGAGGCTATACCAGATCCGATGGGGGGGGAGGGGGGAACCTGGCCCCCTGAGGAGGAACTCAATGAGGCAAATGAATTTTTGAAGGAAAGTTCAAGGTGGTAAAGAAGGTTCCTAAAGGAAAATCCAGTTACCAAGCTGAATGGATTTTGGATGAGAGTGACGAAAGTGGTGGGGAAAGAGATGGATATGATGATATAGAACATGAGGATTTTATGGAAGAGGAATCTCAGGATGAGCATAGTGACAAGGGAGCAGAGGAGGAATGTGAAACTATGGCCATAGGAGCGTCTGTGCATGATGACCTGTATGGTGAGAAAGTGGGTGAAGAGGCTGAGGAAAAACTGCTAGAGAAATATAAACAAGAAAGACTGGAAGAGATGTTTCCAGATGAAGTAGATACACACACACACACACACACACACACACACACACACACACACACCCTGTAATGTGGCTGCTAGAATTCGATTTCAGAAATACAGAGGCCTCAAGAGCTTCCAGACCTCTCCATGGGATCCTAAGGAAAACCTTCCTCAAGATTATGCTCAGATCTTTCTGTTTCAGAACTTTACAAACACTAGGAAACGCATCTTTAAAGAAATCGAGAACGAGAATGGAGGAGCTGAGGTTGGCTGGTATGTCACACCTCATGTTTCTGAAGCACCTGTCGCTGCGGCTGAGCTCTTCAGGGGCAGAGCACCCCCGTTGCGTTCTCTTTCCTGCCTGGTGAGCAGATGTCAGTAGTGAACGTGGTGGAAAGCCGGCATCCCAGAAACACTGAGCCCGTGAAAGCTAAAGAGGGGCTGGGCTGCCACTGCGGGTTCACTCGTTTCCGAGCCTCACCTTTATTTTCTCAGCACACTGCAGCGGATAAACATAAATTTCAGAGATTCTCAGCACACGGCTGCCATGGCCCTCGCGGTGAGAGCATATGCCCCAATCACTTTTCCTCCTGCATCTGTGCTGCTTTTCAAACAGAACAGCAGTGGAATGCACAGCCTCATTGCCACAGGCCATCTCTTGTCAGTGGCTCCAGACAGGATGGTCATCAAGAGAGCTGTTCTGAGTGGTCATCCTTTCAAAATTTTTACTAAGATGGCAGTAGTGCGTGACATGTTCTCCAGCAGAGAGGATGCGCTGTGGTTTAAACCAGTGGAACTGAGAACAAAGTAGGGCCGCAGGGGACACATCAAGGAGCCTTTAGGTGCTCATGGCCATATGAAGTGCAGTTTTGATGGGAAACTAAAATCTCAGGACACAGTACTGATGAACCTCTAGAAACGAGTTTTCCCCAAATGGACTTATGATCCATATGTACCAGAACCAGTACCTTGGGTGAAAAGTGAGATTTCAGCAGTGCCAGAAGTGGACATGAAGTAATAGATTCAATATCCTTGCTACTAGTTAGCACCTGAGGGATGGGAAGCTATAGGTTGTGATTGGGTAAAGTTTGTGTTGTCTACTTTAGCCTAGGAGTCTGCTGCCCCTTTTTGCAAAAGGTTTTTCTTGGCCTTGACAAGGTGTCTTAGTTAAGTATGGATGTTTTTTGATTGCTACTTCATCCAAAAACTATTAAGTCTTACGGAAATATCTACTGTCCATTAGGATTTTGAAAGCTATTTAAAGAAGGTACGATGGGACGTTAACAGTGACGGGAGACCAAACTTCCAAGTGTCTAGAGAAACTGAATCCCATTTCTTCCTTATGCATAAATTAAACAAAAACAGATTGATAAGGAGCTGGCCTTTCAGCTTGCTTCACCCGAGTTACAGAGGTTAAGCCTGCATTTCCACCACTGAGCACAATACATATGTTCTTTACTTCTGGGGAAATTGTTTGAAAATGCCGAGACAGAACAGCAGCCACTCCACCACCAGCTGTAGGCTCAATAAGCAGTTTCATCCGCTCCCATACCAGCTGGGCTGCATACTGTTGGTAGAGAAGGTAGTAAGCAATAGTGAAATGGGAGGAGAAAAGCTTAGTTGTTGGGCCTTCACAATTAAAGGCTAAGTGATAAACAAGCATATGCTTGCCAATGAAGAGCCGGTCTTTTTTCACTCTAACTCTGCTTCTACTGCTGAGGGTGTCCCAATATCTAGGGCCCTCCCACATATCATGAGTCACCAAGTCAAGAAGTATCTTTTGCTTAAAGAGTTGCTCTGTTCTTTTGTTATTTTCTTTCCTGTTGGAGCCTCGCCTTAATTTCATCCTCTGTGACAGTGAAGACATCATCCACAAGGTCCCTTGTAAGAGGCCAGGTGTTTAAGCCAATGCTGGATTTGGCACCATTTGCTATGGTTTCTGGAGGATAGGGGGTGGGGGTCAGTTCCCCTTTCAGAGTGGGCTGGTAGCAGTCATCTGCATTCAAGGGTTCAGCAACATACACCTTCACACTAGGTCTCAGGGCCTGGGAAGGGGAATATTAGACATCTCACCACTAGCCACTGCCTACATGCCTCCAGTAAAATAGGCAGTACAGGTAACACACTTCTGACCACGTAAGAGCCTTCTCTGTGATAGATGTAATGAAAATATGACCTTAAAGCACTTTAAATTGTATACCTAATACTGGCCTTCAGTTGCCTAGATCACATCTGGTTCTACTGGTAACTTGGGAAAATATTAGCCCCTGGCTTGGATAGTAGGTTGGCGAGATGGAATTCAGGGAAAGGTCTGTGATAGGAGGACACTCATTGCTATTGCTTTTGTGCTGTAAAGTCATAGATTAAAAAAAGGGTACTGAGGCAGAGGAGGGCCTTTCATCTCAAGAGCTACGAAATGATGGGAAGGAACAGTAATTTAGGGGGAATGTTGAGCACATACCACAATGTACTGTGATGTGAAGTAAAATCCTCTATGCCTGAAAAGAACAAAAACAACCCAACCTGACAAACGCTACCTCAGCCAGGTGATCAAGGTCACCATCAACAGTGGAAAGTCATGGTTAATAGTATGCATCCTTGGTATGATATGATGAAAATGGCATGTTGCCTCTGTGATCTTCTTCCCAATAACATATATAATCCCAGTCTAATCATGAGAAAAACATAAGACAAATCCCAAGTAAGGGACATTTTATAAGATACTGACCAATACTCTTAAAAACTGTCAAGCTCATCAAAAACAAGAAAAACCCGAGAAACCATCAAAACCAAGAGGAATCTAAGCTTAGACACATGACTACTAAATGTAATGTGATATCCTAAATAGGGTCCTGGAACATAAAAAGGACATTAAGTGAAAACTAAGAAAATCTAAATAAAATGTGGATGACACATTAAATGTGGATGTCATTTAGTTAATGACAAATTAACTAAAATTAACTAAATTAACTAAATTAATAAGCCAATCAATATTGGTTTATTAATTGTGACAAGTAAGATGTTAATAATAGGGAAAATTGTCTTCACAATTTTTCTGTAAATCTAAAATTGTTCTAAAAATAAAAGTTTTCTGTGGAGCCCAGCCAGGTGTGGGTCAGCGGTTGGGCATCCATCTAGGATCCAGGCGATCGGGGTTCGATTCCTGGTCAGGGCACATGCCCGGGTTGTGGGCTCAATCAATGACTCTCTCATCATTAATGTTTCTGTCTCTCTCTCTCCCTCTCCNCGTGGGTCAGCGGTTGGGCATCCACCTAGGATCCAGGCGATCGGGGTTCGATTCCTGGTCAGGGCACATGCCCGGGTTGTGGGCTCAATCAATGACTCTCTCATCATTAATGTTTCTGTCTCTCTCTCTCCCTCTCCTTTCCTCTCTCTGAAATCAATAAAGATATATTAAAAAAAAAAAAAAAGTTTTCTGTGGAAACAAAAACAGAATATTTTGTGGCACATGAAAATTATATAAAAATCAAATGTCAGTGCCTATGAATAAAATTTTACTGAAACACAAACACAAAGGGCTGGGAGAGCAGGAGTAGGTAGGAAAAGCCTTCAGACTACAACTCACCTGTGAAATCCAGTCTGAAGAGGCTCAGGCTGCAATGCAACTCTGAGAAAATCAGCCCACACGGGGGGAGCTGTGGTGCAAAACTCCCCCACGGAGATCTTTCAGGTTGGACCTATGTATTGAGCAGAGATGGTTTGTATGGCTGTTGCTCTCAGTCATAGGCTGGGATTGCCCAGGGAAAGTGTAGCCTTGGCTAAGGTGCTGTAGAAGATTCTAAAGGCGCTGCAGCTGGAGGTGCTGTCAGCTAACTGCACTCCTCCCAGCCGTTTCTATCTTGAAGGTAAAAGTAAGGAATGTGCCTCTAGGTTGCCACAGTGGGTAAAGAGGATCTGCCTGCAGCAACTGACACTTCACAAGGGTCAAAGCAAATATGCAGCATATATATATATATATTTTAATATATTTTTATTGATTTCAGAGAGAGGAAAGGGGGGGCGGGAGAGAGCGACAGAAACATCACTGATGAGAGAGTCATTGATTGGCTGCCTAGTCCACAACTCAGGCATGTGCCCTGACCGGGAATCGAACCCCAATCACCTGGATCCTAGGTTGATGCTCAACTGCTGAGCCACACCCTGCCGGGCTATGCAGCATATATTACAGCTTCCAGGGAGGAGATGAGGGTGACAAAAAAGGGGGCCACATACCAAACCTGAAAAGCTCAGGGGAGGCCTTACAAAGCCAGAGACCAAAAGTAACCACACAGCATGGTCTGAACATAAAAATTCCTAACTAAAATAAGGTCATGGTGGATAGTCACACCCTAGGCCTTTAATTTCCTTGACAAAGGTCAATCCTTACCTCAAGTGAGCCTGTCTATTGTCTTTTAGAATCTAAGATAGCCTTAGAAATGTCAGAGTAGTCTTCTTTTCTAGACCCCTCAAGGCACAGCCACCTACGCCTGAGCACTGCTATCTCGCCCAAATACCATCTCTATGCACTGTAAATGTTTACCGTCCTGTACCCCCACCAATGTAAAAGAAGCACGTGTTTCACCATTTCGCTTTATATCCAATCTCAGAGATTTCCCCACTCTGCTTTCTTCAGTCTCCTTTATCTACCACCGGCAGAGTTCATATAAAGCTCCTTACGTATTCTCCTTTGGTTCTAATGTATAAAATAAACTACAAAACTGCCATTTTCCAGAGTTTTTCTCAATCCATTGAGATTTACTTCCTGGCAATTGTTCTCAGTTTGTCTCAAATAAATTCATACAAATTCTCTACAGGTTTGGATGTTTCTTACGTCAACAAGGGGGAAAAAGATCATTGTAAAGGGGGGGTGGGATTCTGATTAAAGAGTCTGAGATTAAACTCTCCTCCGTGAGAAAAAAAATTTCTGGAGGGTGAGATAAAAATTCCAGCTGACAGGCAGGCTGAAGCTGCATGTTGAGGTCATGGCATAGTGGCCTGAGGATCAGGAACAGGCATTTCTGGGTACTGAGCTCAATGCACAATATAACCCTGGTCCTAGAGCAAGGATCATATGTCAGCATTGAAGGGAGAGAAAGAAGCAGTGGTGAGAGAGTGAAAGGTGCTAGATCAGTAAATCAGTAACAAATTCTGTTAATAGGAATATCACAACCCATTGTTGGTATGGATGGTGTGAGTGAGTAGGAAATCCTGCTGCTGCCACTGAGAGTAAGGAAGGGTCCATTAATAGGAATCCGGAGTAATCAAAGCTGAAAAACACAGGAAATTGTAGCAATACCGATGTCCCCTCTCCCCTTGGGGCATAAAAAAAAAATTGTACTTCTTTATTTTATTTTTTCCATCACCATTTATCCCCTCTATGTCCTCTTCCACTTCCACGTATAACATGGATGGACCTGGAGAACATTATGCTAAGTGAAATAAGCCAGTGAGAGAAAGACAAGAACCATATGATTTCACTCATCTGTGGAATCTAATGAACAAACTAAACTACCAAAAAACAAAATAGAGACAGACTCATAGGTAGAGAGCAGGCAGACAGCTCTGTTGGAGGGGTGAGGGAGAGGAGGGTGCAGGGATTGAGCAAAAAAGAGAGAAAGAGAGAGAGAACTCATGGACATGGACAACAGTGTGATAAAATTGTACTTCTGAAAGAAGAGAAATACTATAGGGAAGAACACTGGGCTTTTAGACCTAATGACCCTTAATCCAACTACTTACTATTTTTCCTTTACATACAATCAGAGGCATTAAACTGGGTATTGAATGAAACTATGCTTTCTAATGAAGGTCTCCAATAACATTTAGATCAAAAGTCCAGTAAGAACCTGAGTATAGTCATAAAAACATTTAAATAAAATACAGGAAGTTTGTCAAAGTAACCTGATTAAATGGAAATGATACATTCAGAAACCCGCCTGTAAACAAGGGGAACAGCTCTCTGTGGCCAAGATTGCCTCTATGAGATGGTTTACTTCTACCACTGAAGGTTTGTGTCCCACAATATGATTTCTATATTCAGAAAAATAGAAATAAAAATGATGGAGCTTGGTATATGAATAGCAATGCTTGGTTAATGGATTTGTGTCTGAAAGAATGCCAGCTAACAGAAAATTTCTAGCAAAAACAAAAAAAAAGATGGAGTATATTAGCAAAATGGACAGAGTTAGATACAGTGTGGCTAGTATTAGTCCCCAGTTGGATAAACAGATGAGATAAATGATAGTTAGATAGATGATTGATAGATGATAGATTAGATAGATGATGATGATAGATAGATAGATAGATAGATATAGATAGATAGATAGATAGATAGATAGATAGATAGATGATAGATAGATGATAGATAGATAGATGATAGATGATAAATGATAGATAGATGATAGATGATAGATAGATAGATAGATGATAGATAGATAGATAGATAGATAGATAGATAGATAGATAGATAGATAGATAGATAGATAATACATATGACTCAGTCAATAACCAGTGGTCCAACCATTTGTTTTGGCACGTGGGATACAGGGCACCAGACTTAAAATACCATAATTTGGATGCTCGACTTAGAGAAAAAGCCATGAGCTTTAAATCTAAAAATACAGATTCATCATGTCAAGACCCATCAGTCACATTCAGAAGAGGAAAGGGCTAGTTGACTGAGACAACCAAGTACATTTATTTGTGCACACTTTGCAGTGTTAGTGAAACCAGACACAAGGGGTCAGGGGCCACCTGTCACTCCTTGAGCCAAATTAAGCAGAAACAGGGTTGAATCATATGTGAGCATTTATTCCATTATTGTGGGCAAAAATGGGAGAGCAGCCAGTCACCCTGGAAATTCTGCTCTGACTCCCGCTTGCCAGTTGGCTGATTATACACCAGTGAGGGAGAAGATAGCTACATGCAGCTTCGAGCTACAAGTGTAACAGAGAAAGGGGAGGGTCGGATCTGCAGTCCCGCCTCAGGAGCTCAAAGTCCAATAACCAGGTGGCTAATCTTCTGTGATGTTACAAACAGGTCAGCCCTTTCCTGGGACCAGAGAATGGTCAGCGTTCCTGAGGCAAACTCCCAGAAGGGGTCAGGTCTGGGCATAGCAACTAAGTCAGAGCATGTCCTGTCCTTGGCCTGTTCTCAAAACATATTTCTTTTCTGAGTAATGGACCCATGGAGGCATCTTATCTTTTTACAGCCTTGTCTCATTCTCCAGTTTCCCAGGTTCTGTAAGAAAACTTCTTATCTATGGTTAGTAAGGTGAATGATTATTAAACGTCTGTGGCTCTATGCTGATTATGTGCCCTTTCCCACTATCATTGGGTCCCTGAGATGAGTGCACATGGAGCTGTAAACTCAGCTTCAATAGGTACGTTGAGAGAAATTGCTTGTTTCTTGGGATTGTCCAGTTTGTAACTAGCCAAAGATATATTTACATTGTAGTCAGTAAACAGATCCCAAGGTTACATGACTCACCACCCATGGGAACAATAGTTATAACTAGGTTTTCTCTGGTATTGACAACTTTTTTGGTTTTGACTTTGTGGTTGAGGCCTTAAAAAAGACAAAAAGATGTTTAAAAAAGCTAAAAGACAAAAACTATTCACAAATACAGACCCAAACTTCGATAGCAACAGATGAGGGAATAGCATTCTATAGCACAGACGGCACTCGATAGGAAGGACAAGGGAATATAATATGAAGTGATCCTTTTGTCAATGTAAGAATGTCCAAACCTGTAAATGCTTTTTATAAGAGTTTATTTGAGCCCAAACTGATGACGATTGCTGGGAAGCAAGATCTCAAATGCTTTGGAGAGCGACAGTTTCACAGTTTCTTTTACGCATTTGAAATTATGGAGAGAAAGTAAGGAAGATTACATAAGGGAGGAAGAAAGTAAGGCAGGGATTGAGTTACCGAATAAGTAACAAGATTACATGTTTTCTTGAGGATGGCTGTGCCTATTTCAAGAAGTGTTTAACAAAAACAATGGACAGGGGTTGCTTAAGGCAAAGATAAACCTTTTACTAAAAAAAAGTCGTAAGACTGGGGTGTCACTACTCCCCATGACCTGGCTAGTTAGGAATTTATGATTTATGATCAGATCACCCTGTGAGGTTACTTTCTGTAGAAACCCTTTTCTGTCCACACTTTCAATAATTCCTATCAACCACAAAGCAGAGGAATAAGTGAAAATTAAAACGGGCACTTTAAGCAATTACTAGACAAAATAGGGGAGTGATAGAACAGTAAGGAGTAATGTTTCAGATGAAAAGAATGTGCTTCAACTCACATTGAAGGTTGATTAATGGTAGATCACCAGTTGAATTGTTTCTAAAAGACAGAGTTGGCAATGAGGAGGTAGAGATAAAAGATGCAATTCATATCATAATTACCTAAGTAATTTTTTAGACATTTTTTATTCTAGTCATTATTTTAAAAACAGAGATTCAGTTGTATGTCTCCAAGATAGGAACATTAAAATTCCAGTAATCTGTGACTTGTTATACAAATGTGACTGCTCGAATTTCATCAATAAGTGATGGGCTGGGTCAACCCTGCCTCTCATGAATAAGGCAGATCTGACGCTTATAGAGTCTCCATGGCCAGGGAAGGGAAATCACAGAATGTAGGTTGGACGTAACTTGGAATGAATAGAGGTAAGAGTTTAGTCATGCCACATGAGCTGCTCACTATTTGGAATATTTCTCAAGGGTGTCTCCTCTGGTAGTGCAAAGGAAAGATGCAGAGGGAGACAAAGATAAGTGGTGTCAGAATCAGGAAACTCAATATGGCACTTTTTTTTTTTTTAAATATGTTTTTATTGATTTCAGAGAGAGGAAGGGAGAAGGAGAGATAGAAATGATGAGAGTCATTGACCGGCTGCCTCCTGCACGCCCCCTACTGGAGATCAAGCCCGAAAACCCAGGCATGTGCCCTTAGCAGGAATCAAACCATGACCTCCTGGTTCATAAGTCGATGCTCAACCACTGAGCCACACTGGCTGGGCTATATAGCACTTTAAAGAAGAGTAGAGAACAAGAGAATGCGCCCTTAGCATTCTTACTACTTACATCTGCACCTTTTAAGGCAGGATCTTGAGAAAAGACTCCAGCGTGATCCAGTTATTTTGAGTCTTGCTATGGACATGGACAAGAGGCTATCCTGTATGAGCAATAATGAATGAACACTGTGGGTATGGCTAATGTCTAATGGAATAGTTGTAATTTGGAAATAGAAGTGGGACTAATAGTTTATTTATTAAGTGCTGAGTTTTTCCCCTAAGAACCCAGAGAAAATTTTACCTGACAAAACAGCCAGGCAGACCATTAACAGAAATGCAAAACAGAAATGCATGCTTTGGAATCTATCAATTGCAATTTATACCAAGTTCCTAAATACAATGGAAAGGATTTGAAAAGGATTTTCTTTACATAAATGACTATATTTTGTGCATAAGCAAAATGACATTGCTTTTGTAGATGGCACAATGATAATTAGTTTAGGAGCGATGAGCCAGAATAAAAAAGAAAACTGATTTTTATGAATCAGAGATATAATAATAATAATAAT